CTTCATCTCCCAAAGGTCCACCGCTGACATCTTCTACCATTAATCCAATATCTCCAACTAGGGGTTTTTCCTAACAATGAAACCCCATGTGATCATCATCTCTTCTTCTTCCCCCAAGGAAAACTTAATTCCCCTGTCAGAAAATAACTGACATTTTATGTATTATATTAAATTTATTTCTTCCTTTTCAATTACAACGAATATCATCAGTAAACTCATAAGCCGTTGCTTGGTATGTTGGCCAGGCATAAACTTTGTAAATTTCTTTGAATTCTTTGTCATATTTTTTATTTAATATGCATTTTGGCATATATTTTTATTTTGTTTTCGGATCTAGAAAGCTAGATATGTAATTTGTTAGGGTACAAAAAAAGCCTTCGTAGGCCTCACATTTAGTCAGCATCAATTTAGCTGATTTTTTGATATCCTCATTATCATGTGAATTAGATGTTTCTTCTAAAAAATTCCCCATCGAAGCGACGAATAAAACCGCCGATATTGAAATTATTATTTGGTATTATTGAAGAAGAAGACGTATTTGCTTCTGAAAAAGAGCTTTGAGTTTGACTCAAGTCATTGTCCTCTTGATCTAATAAAAATTATGTTTTTAGTAATAAATAAAATATGATAGACCTGCCGGGCTTAGGGCCGGACCGTATTTCAATTTTTTTAAATATATGGGACCGGGCCTATAAAAATTTTTAATAGATCCGGGCCAGGCCGGGCCTAACAAATTTATTACTTTTAAAAGCTAATAAAAGATTATAAATATTTTGATAGATCATTTAATTTAAATAAAACTTTTTGATAAAAAAATATGGTTTTGTTATTACTTGTTCTATATCTGTTTCTGTTTCCATTATCATCATATTGAAGAAAAAATAAAAATTTTAATCAAAAAAAACTATAAGTACGACGATGTTAAAAAACTTTATTTTTATATATTTAACTTAATTCTTAGTAAATATATTTTTTTATATAATTATAAAAAATTATTATATACTAAATAATTCTCTGAAATAATAAATTTAAAATCATTAACGCCTTGCTGGCACCTAATCATTTAGGGGGGGGGGGGGAATAATTTTATTTTTTTGGATCAAAATGTTTATTATTAAAATTATTTTTTATACACCCAGCCCCAGAGGTTTTTTGTTAAATATAAATTTATTTTAGTTAACAAAGGGGGAAGGTGGGGTGGGGGGGGGAGGCTGTGTATTTTTATTTTACTTCGTTCCAACATAATGATGAAGGAAAGGAAAAGTTATTAATTTTTAGAATATACCAGACCACCTAAGGAAAGAAAAGACATTAATTTTTATTTAGAATATATATATAATACAATACCCATATTTTTATTTAAAATTTTGTAAAAATGTAAAATTTATAATAAAAAAAATCAAGACAATAATTTTCCATATTATCAGGAAATAATTTCAATACATATCGTTTTTTTCAAACGGTTTTTGGGTAACGTATAGATAGTTGCAAATTACTCGAGAAAATTGGTTCAGGGGAAAAAAGTAAAAATGAGAGGAAATAACGGAAAATCAAAAAATAACCACAAAAATACACTTTAAACCTTTCAATAATATTTTTATTGAATAAATTAAACGTATAGATAGTTGCAAATTACTCGAGAAAATTGGTTCAGGGGAAAAAGTAAAAATGAGAGGAAATAACGGAAAATCAAAAAATAACCACAAAAATACACTTTAAACCTTTCAATAATATTTTTATTGAATAAATTAAATTCGGGGAATTAAGGGAAAATAATTTAACAAAAATACACTTTAAATATTTCATTTTTTTAAAAATAACTTACAAGATGTATTTATAAATTACATTTAAAATTCATGGCATGTTATTGATAAGCATCAACATCAACATTCTCATGGGATGTAATTGTAATATTATCACTTGATATTGAATTTTTAAGGAAGACTTATATCCTTTCAATATTTGCCTTTTTTTAAAGTTACCAATAAAATATCATTAAATTTTATAATTTAATTATATGTTTGGCTCTTTTGATGATCTTCTTTCAATAAAACGTATTTGGCTTAAATTTTTAATAAACAGATTCTAGCCATGTGCTGCACATCCAAAGGATTCAATAAATTCCTAACTTTGTAAATCGTCATAAATTAATTAAAAACCTAGGTTTTTAAGATGATTTTTGAATATTTTTTAATCGGTCAATTGACCAGTCAAAATCAGTCAATTGACCGGAGGAGTATTTGACCTGGTAAAATACTCTAAAAAAATTTGAAGAAATAAAAATAAAATATGTTTAAAGAGGGAAAAACGATATAAATATAGTACTTTCTTTCCTTTTCTATTAAATATAAACCCTCTCCCTCTTTACTTTAGTAATAATTTTTTTTTCTTCCTTTCTTATATTATTTATAGCTGGCGCCAAAGTTTTTTTATAAATAAAAAAAGTATTTAAAATGAGAAAATTATAAATGAAAAAAAATATATTAAATAACAAAAAATAAATTTTGATAGAATTTCTAAAAAACAATTTAAATTAAATTTTTTAGAAATTTTTTGAGGGATAGAGTTAAACAATAAATAAATTGTTGCCAATTCAATAGGTCTTTTAATTATCGATTGATACCTATAATAACCATATATTTATATCTATAATAAGTTCAATAAAAAATTACTTAAAATATATGGGTTTGAACCATAGATCTATGCTCGGGGTTCGTGCTCATAGCAGATTTAGTGGATTTTTAAAGCCAAGCGCGAGGTCTGGATATAACATTATCAACCAATTAACAACACTAGTAATTTAGTTTCATAAAATTTAAGTTAACCTGTTAATTTCATAAAATGAAAAAATTTCAAAGCGTACTCGATTAAATTTGAGTTATAATTTTTTTTAATAGACAAGCCCTTACTGTTGAAGAAATCAATAAATTACTAAAATTCAGGTCATTATTTCAGGAAAAAAAAGAAGATAGTTTGGGGTTCATAAATTCTATGAGTTTTTTAAAAAAATACATATCAATTAAACATCTTAATCCTCAAAATTTGCCTCTTATTACCTCATCCTTGAAGATTATAATCTTTTATATTTCAATTTCAATCAGAGGTAATAATAAATACGACAATTTACATACATAACGTTTTTTCAAACGGTTTTTGATGTTACGGCAACCTTTTTTTTATTTCCAATAATTTTATAGCAATTGATTTTTTAGATTAAGTTTATGTTATCAAATTTTCCGTTATATGGAATTTAAAAATCCTGAACCTAAATTAAACCCTAATTTTTGGTAATCTAGCAGATATTTTTATCTTTTAATAATTAAATGTTAAGATATAGACATGTCAATTTTTTTCACGAACAAATTTGAGACCATATTTTTTACCCCCGCTCACAGGTCAAAATTATATACACCATATAAAGGTAGAACTATACTTATTTGATACCCATCCATTATCATATCAATATTTGGTGCTGATAAAATAATTCCTGACCTACGTAGAAATAGCTTCACTCATCTAGACATGGTTTGCTACTTATTCAATAGATCTAATTAGCTAGCGATTGATACCTCTAATAACCATATATTTATATATATTAATAAGGTCAAGAAAAATCAACTTAAGATATATTGATCTGTGCTAGGGGTTCGTGCATAGCTAGTTAAGTCGATTTTAAGATCCAAGCCCCAACAAAACCAACCAATAAATAACAATTATATGATAAGTAATAGAGTTTCGTAAAATTTAAATTAACCTATCCTATTTATTGAGTTCACGACTCAAGTTCAGAACTCAAGTAGTAAAAATTATTCGAGTTATTTATACTTTGACACGGAGTCATGATTACTCGACTATCTAATTTTAAATTTAGAAAACAAAAATATCGTAATTAAAAATAACTAATTTGAAATATATTAGAGTCTAGTCGATCAAATTTATATAACTAGTCGTCCTCTAATTGACTCAAGTATATCTATTTACGACTCAAGTAGGAAGTCTAAAATAAAAAAATTATATCTTATTTAATAATTAATTTGAAATATTCGTCCTCTAGTCGTCTACTCAAGTTCATAAAACTATTCGTCCTCTAGTCGACTCAAGTTCATAAAACTATTCGTCCTCTAGTCGACTCAAGTATATAGATATGAATTCACAACTTGAGTCGACTTTAATTCACGACTTAAGTTCATAATTTAAGTCGCGACTTGAGTTCAGGACTCAAGTTCATAACTCAAGTTCATAAGTTCACGACTCAAGTTCATAACTCTAGTCGCGACTTGAGTTCACGACCCAAGTTCATAACTCGAGTCGCGACTTGAGTTCACGACTCAAGTTCAAAACTTGAGTTGTAAAAATGAGTCGATTATTGCGACTTCGACTCGGAGTTGAAGTCAGGAGAACTCGACTATTTAACAACACTAATTTATAGAGACACACGATATCGACTTACCAAAGAAGAACCAACTATTTTACATTTATAGGGATATTAGGAACCTCTGAAACATGACAAACCGTACAGACATAACGTTAATTTCTAAAGGAATATGTTACCAAAATATTTAAAAAAAAAATTTTTTCTTCTCATAAATATTCTAATCCGGACGTCAGGTACATTATTTCTTTGTTATGGCTTTATATATGACCTCACTACTCTAACATAATTCTCTCGGAAACGGAACTAATAGATCACCTCTTACTTACCCCTCTCTTCCTTGCTATGCTAGCGTACTACATAACATAGTATATTAGTGAATTGAATGAATGAATGATAAAAAAAATATATAAAACGTTTAATATCAAATTTTATATTTTGGTGCAATTCGATTATTTATATGACAATATAGAATATTCCACTACGATATTTTAACATATGGTCAATTTATTTTAAAATTTATTTATACATTATTTTTAAGGTTTTTTTAATAAACGATGTTGAATTAAATGAAAGTTATTCTAAAGACTTTGATGAAGTTAAACATGTTGGTTTTATAGAGTCTATGGATAGTCATAAAGAGGATTATGTATAATATGTACCAATTAGCTAATATATATAACTAATTTAGATAAATGCTATGACTGAATATTTGAGAATGAGTGGCATATATTGGTGTTGTAACTCATTAGCACTTTTAGGCAAATTAGATAACAATCATTCCTCAATTAGAAAGCAAGATGTTATATCATTTATCAAATCATGTGAATGTTCTAATGGTGGTTTTGCATCTAGTCAGAACCACGATCCACATCTTCTATATACTCTTAGTGCTATACAAGTACTAGTTTTAAGTTGTATTTAATTCTTGTGTAATGTTAGAAATGAACAATTATAAAACATGAATTTTGGATTTAACTTATGATTTTACATAAGTATATAAACTGCAATGGTTAAAATTCTAAGCCCAGCATGGATTTTAAAAAATCATTTCCAATTCCAGCATAGGTTTTTTGACCTAAACTTAACTGATATAATTTTTTTTTAAATTGACCAGACCTAGACTTATTTTTTTAAATTTATACCTAGCTCAGATTTTTAACAATATGCCATATCTCATTCTAGGCTGGATTGCATGGGTTTCAGTGGCATGGCCAAGATTTCAAGGGTTAAAAAAAATTTGATACTTTGCCCACAAATGTTTATTTGCTCAGCCTTCAGCTGTCACTGCGATTAAAAATTTAGATTATTGATTTCCCCATAATTATTTGTATTTTTAAATATATTATATCTTTAAATCATCTGTTAACGTTGGCTGAACAATTGGAATACTAATTCTAAAATATACCAATGTTTTGTACTTTATTAGTTTCTATGATGCTATAACCAATATAATATCTAGTAGTGTTGTTAAACAGTCCAATTTGGTTTGATTTTATTTTATTATGGCCTGAAAGATTTCAGTAAAAAAAATATTTTATTAGCCTGGAGATTTTGCTCATAGATGATAGAAAGGTTTGAACCTTTATATGTCAAATATTGAGGTTTACATAATTATTTTGGCTAAAGTCTTAATAGGGCCATTTTTAAAAAATTGACCCAAACTGGGCCGTTTAGCAACACTATTAGCCAGTATAAAGAAAAATTATTAGTAACATATTTTTGACTAACCTTACCATTTAAAAGCAACTAAAAGCATTTATTCCGAAAATTTTTGAAAAATTTTTTAATAGTATCATGCTTGTTAGAAATATATAAAAACTAAATATCTATTTTTTACCTCGGCTATATCAACTGGGTCAGAATTTAAAGTTTTTGGAAATGAATAGACGCATGTGATAGAAAATTAAGGATCTACCTAATCACCAAGGCACAGAAGTTAGGCGATCATCTAAAAAATTAGGCTCCAGCATGTTTGGTATTCGGGCCCTCGTAAGAGAATCGATAATAACTGAATTAGCTGCGTGTCTTGCATGTCTGCCTTGACTATATACAATTAAGATCATGAACTTTAAATTTTTATTTTTAAAAAATATAGGCGGCCAAATAAGAGCCTTTACATCAGAACCCAAAGAATTTTATTTTTTAAAACAAAATACAAATTAATTACCATTTTAAAATATAATTATTCATGTTTTTTGGGAACTTGTATTCCCACCTCCATTTTTAATGAGTTTTTAATATTTTTAAAGAATTATTTGTTTCAAATAAAGAAAATAAAATTTTTTAAAAAATCAACACCAAAACATATAATGATAAAAATAATCAAAAACAACGAATATTGATTTTTTCCTATTTACTCGTTATAATATTATATGAAAAATGAAATATACTAATATTAATTAAAATATTATTAATTAAAAATAAAACATCAATCACCACATTTTAATTTAATCATCAATCCAATTGGTATAAATAAAAAAATTATTAGCAAAATACGAAAATTTCTAAAATTATAAAAAGAATTGAGATAGAACGAATGTATCTAGAAATCAATTGTAATAAAAAAAATTGAAAAAAAACGAAATCTCTAAAAATACTATGCCTCTATAGCTCTGACACTCTTATAATTTAGTCGCGATAGCATAAAAAGGTAGATAAATAAACTTGTGGTATCTGGAATATTAGATACCAAAATACTATGGATTGGTTACATTGAAATTTAAAACAATTATAATGCTTATGTTTTTACCTTCGCTCAAGCCTCAAGTTAAGCGATTATTTAACAAAATAATACCATTGCTAAATTTGCTTTTATACTATTGAAAATAGATGGGGTCAAACGCCGATCCCATACGAATTATAGCGTCTCTGGGAAACATCCATTTTTTAAAATATAATTTATAACTCTGAAAATTTTATTATAAATGAAATACGTCTATTGTTTATTCATAAATAAAGTTTTTTTACACACTTTTTTGAATAGTGGAATAAAATTAAGGACGGGCGCCACTGCTGGACCTGCAGATCTCTGGTGTATATTAAATTTATCATGTTGTTTATTCACGTATATATTTCTATTCATATTAATTATAGATCTTATTACTTTACAATTCATTAGAAGTGATCGATTCTGATAAAGTTGTTGCTTATATTAAAAATTTGCAAAATGATGATGGTAGTTTTTGTGGAGATAAATGGGGTAACATTCTATTATAAAATATTTCCATATTTAAATATATTATTTTGTTCTTAAGGCTATTATAATCCACTTTTCACTGATTCAATTTAATATTTTTCGATATTCATACATAACCAATACCGATTCAATATTTATGTTCATATGTAATAGAAAAAATCAATATTGGACTTCTATTAGCGAAATCTCGTGGCTTAGGCAATATTTTTCTGGCTAAAATATTAAGTTAACCGTTTTTAAAAATCGGCTCAAATAGGTCCATATCACTAATTAAGTATATCTTGATTTTATTTCCCAAAAGCTAATAATCTCATTTATATATAGGCAATGTTTATGGCTGAATATTTAAAAATCTTGTTTCTAGGAACTTTTATCATGAGAGGGAGGGGGTGATGCAAACTAGAGTCTGTAAAATTATAAAAAAAATTTGCCCGACCCGACTAGTGTGAATATTATAATATCCAAAAACAATTAAAAATTATGCGTATTACCGTAAATAAATTATTCAATTATTTGACCGCCCTAATATATCAATTTTTATATTAAGTTGCATTTTATTTAAATAGGAAACATACCTTTTATTTAGTTTAAATATTAAAAAATTTGAAATACAATCGAATTTAAAAATTATTGCGATTATACAAAAACCAGATGATAACCCGTCAAGAATGACGGGGAATCAGAATTTTCTTCTATACTCAATGATTTTTTTGGGAAAACCCTCAGATGGCAGATTCAAGAATTGCTTTCATAAGGGTTTTGAGGATTATTATAATAGATGGATTGAGCACATAAATATAATTTTTACAGATTTTTGATAGCCCGTCAAGAATGGCGGGAAATAAGAATTTTCTTCTTTATTCAATGATGGATTAATAATAAATTTTCTTTATTTGATGATGAATGAATTAAAATTTCCTATCTTATGAGGTTCTAGCAAGAATATATATTTTATATTATAAATTACAAATACAAATGAATAAAAATTTAGTATAAAAGATTTTTTATTGTGCACATTAATTAAAATTTAAAATTATTAACCATATACTTCATAAACATATTTTACAAAATATAATGAAAAATTTTAGAATAACCCCTCATCTAAATAGATATAAATTATCACATCTCATAAGATAAGAAAATTTCTGATTAATTCATCATCAAATAAAGGTAAAATTTATTATTCATCCATCATTCAATAAAGAAGAAAATTCTTCCCCGTCATTCTTGACGGGATATCAGCTAGTAACATATATTTTTGATAACGGGTTCTTAAAAAATCTCAATATATGTAAGTTTAAGGCAAGGTCACAACAGGCATTATTTTTATTTGTTATTGATGCTAAAAAATGGATTAATATTTCATCCATATATAACTTCACAATGGCTTTCCTTATTTCCTTGTGTCCAACAATTTCTTGAATCCAGCAATTTTCAGAAATTTTTTTGTCTATGGTTTGCCCATTCCTTTAAGTTATAAAGTTATATGAGAAATGAAATAATTCAGTTATTAAAATTAGAGACCTTCACGGGCCTTGATTTATTCATCAGTCTCCAGCCCAGGTCAGCAGTAAAAATAATTTGCAGGCTCATTCCAGATTTAATAAAAAAAAATTCAAATCCAAGCCAATCATAAGTTTCAAAAATTTTGCCCAAGCCCATATCCAAAAATTTAATTTATTGCTTTAAATGAAAATAAACAATAAGTTTTTTTAGGCAATCACTATGTTTGCCATGCTGAAATTTTTTTATCATTAGAAGAAAAAAAATGCAATATATTATTAAGTGTCACAGTTTAGTAGGCTAAATTTAAATAAAAAATTTTTGGGGTTTTTATCAAAAAACCAGTCCTGGCTCAGGCTGATTAATATATATATTATTTATTCTAAAAAAATGGATTATTATTTCCTTTAAATATAACTTCATAGTGGCTCTCTTTATTTCATTGTGTCCAACCATTTCTTGAATCCAGCAATTATCAGAAATTTTTTATCTTTGCAATTGCTATCAGCTAAACCAAGCATTTGATTTAAAATATCTATAAATGTAAAAAAGGGTTCCAGATTTTGCAGGACTTTTTATTTTTATGTGCTTACCATCTAATAAGCCAAGGCAGTTTGGAAATCATGTTTCTCAAAGTATTTTTGTGCAATCTAAAATGTTTGATTTTCTATAAATATATATTAATATCTAAATTTAATACCTTTTCACAATGTTCTCAAGTTGGAACTGGATATCTTTTAAAGTTTTCCACATAGCATCACATACCTCTAGAATGATGGGAGTTATGCATTTGAGTAAATTCGCTATATTATAAATCACATGGGAATCACTATTGGCTTAAAATTGCTATGATGATTATCATTGTACAAATATTTTTAATAGAACACTATTGGTTAAATTTGATTGACGTTTTTTGAGGATTACTATAATAGATAATGTGCGTGATATAATGAACATGATATAAAGATATATCAATATCATATAATTATAAATAGTATCACATAGTGAATAATTATGATATACAAATAATGAGGAGTCGAGTTTGTCGGGCTTTAAACAAGTCCTCCTATCTTCAAAGGCCCTACCAGCCACTGAAACCGCGCTTTCACTGCTAGCCGAGGAAGCAGAGATGGCCTGGAATTTAAGAACCAAAACACTTAAATTGGGAACGCTTTGATAAGTCTTCCACCAAATTAAGATTTGGTAAACGATTTTAAATATTGAAAATTTGAGGCTATTTAATTAAATAGGTATTAGATAAATATATTTTAATTAACCTGATAAAATATGATGTAAGTATGTAATAATAACACAAAAATATAATAACAAAATAGCTTGGTAATCGGATGTTATGTAAAGTAATTTGAAAATGACATGCTATTTTAATTGACATTATGAATTAAAATGATTATTTAGGATATTTATATTTATTTATCGGGTCGGGCTTTGGGTCGGACACCTCTTACAACCCGAATCTGGGGTCGGGCTTTGGAGAACCCTTGTAGAATTCTAATGCAAGTTTATCATTGAAATTGATGGATGATATATTTGAACACACCTATCCCATAGTTTTAATTTGGATTTTTCTTTTATTTGTTACTAATTTTGATTTAGGAGTAGAGAGACGTTAAAAAAATGGCATGAGGGTGATAACTTATCATTGGCTTAGGATATGTAAGAGTTCCTGTCTCTTTTAAAATAATTCTTATTTTTTAAAAGTATTTTAAATAATTAAATTTTCCATTTATTTATTATTAGGATATTATGTAAAATACAAATATTATAATATGTCGTATTTGGATAAAGAATTATGCAAAAGGGTTCGAACCGGTTTTTTAAAGGTTCAAGTATATAGTTATTTTTTACGAACTGAGCATTGAACCGAACTTAGTTCATTACGGTTTAGATCTCTGAAAAAATGCCTGAAATTCAGAGTGTGTGTACTCTTTACAGCTGGAATAAATTTTCCATCAAATCCGATGGTTAAAAATCGCCCTCAATAAATGTTAAAATTATGAGATTCCGAATCCCAATGAATAACATATCCCAATACGACATAAACAAATCATAATAAAATAACAATAAAACCAATATAATATTGGATCAATTTTTTTTTTAAATTGGACCAATCCAATTTATTTATAAACGTTAAGTATCATCCCTGATCGGTAAATTGAAGTTATTCATTTAAATTTAGATAAGTCTTATTTAATCTTCATATATGGCTGATTTGATATTATTATATCTGATTAAATGTTTTTTTTTAAATTTTGATACTATTAATTTTTTTATAACATTTATTTTTCAATTAACATAATTAATTCTTTGATATATATCTCTTTAGGTGAAGTTGATACCAGATTTTCCTTCTGTGCATTGGCTGCTTTAGCTCTTCTAGATAAATTGGACTGCATAAAAGAAGACATTGATAAGATTGTGAATTTCGTATTAAAAGGTCATAATATTGACCAAGGTTTTGGTAGCAAGCCTGGTTCGGAATCTCATGCTGGCCAGGTAAAAATAAAAAAGATCCTTAGAATATTTTTTCTAATATTATCAAACTAAAAAGAAAAAAATTAAAAGATATTTATTTTTTTCATTAAATTACACAAATAGGAATAGGATTGTACTAGGTTTACCAGATCCTGCTCAAAGAATTTTGAGCAGTTATTTATTTTTATTGCATTTATATATAAATCATAACCCTGAATTACATGCTGCAGGCACATTTTAATACACGCTTGAAAAAGAAACTAACATTTTGTTTGTAAACAAACAGCACTATACACATTTCATACAGGGGCGGACTGGCCATAAGACCCGGTGGGCATTTTGCCCACGAGGCTGCGAGAAAATGTCGATTTTGAGGCCGATCGGAGGAAAATATAAAAAAAGAGGCCGATTAGAAAAAAAATAATATTATTATGTCCATAATATTTTCTCTTATCATTTATTTTTAATATCGCATTCCTTGAGAATTATCATGTAATTTACTATCGTCGCTTGACGCTATATTATCACGTGCTTTTCCTTGTTTTTTTTTCGAATGAAGTGAATCGCTTCCTTTTGAGCTTGACTACGATTAGAGTGTAAATTAAGTTTTAATTAATTTATTATATTATATTTTTATACATTAATTTATTGTAGAAATAATATAGCAAACTTTTGTTATTGTATTGTTCTTAATTCAAGAAAAGAAATCAAATAAAACCCAGGTAATAATAATTTTAATAAATAAATTTTTGATCAATTTGATTTTCTAAAGTTTCTTTTAATATTAATTTATTGTTATTTTATTATACTATTACTAACTAAGCTTAACTCAACGAACACAGATTGTTAAAATCTCACCTAATATTTGGTTGCAACAATTTACTAATCATTTGCAATCAAATCTAATTTAATATTTATACAGCTATTTTTTGAAATGTATGTAAAAAGTCAAAAGTAAACAACTTATTTATATTTCATATTCATAGATAGTAATTAATGTTTTTTTATTTTTATAAAATTATTTGAATTTCCAGTTCACATCTTGTAATATTTTTTTTAGCCTTAAGTTATAAATTAATAATAATAAATTTTTTATATTATCATGCATAGAAATGCCAAAAGGAAATTTAAGGGTGGAGCTGAAAAATTAAGAGAAAAAGATGTTGCTTGTCTCAAAGCAGCTAGTGCTGATCCAAAACAACTTAAATTATCTTTCTTTGATAAATCAGTACCAAGTATTTATAATACTAGTACTTCATATTAAAAAATCTATTATTTTAGGAATATCAGCAACTACCTCCCATTCACATCTACCAGAAACAACTACATTATCTGCAACATCTTCTTTTATTATTGCATCAGTTCAATCATTGCCACACCCACCTATAACTATATTACCAACCATTACAGCAGATAAATCATTCACACACCCTGAAAATAGATTATCTACAATTACAGCAATTCCATCTTTATTATCCTCACACTTGTCAGAAGCAACTACATCAATACTGCCTTTAGATATTTCACAAAGTGATCAGAATTGGGTATGCATAAACATGAAAATTTTAAGCTGCAATTAACAGCTACTATACCACAAAAACTTGCATTCTTAATGCAAATCCTATACAACCAATAAATAGTAAATATGATAAATTATATTATCGAATGGTAATGAATGAAAAAATACCTAGAAAATGGATTACAATAGAACTAATGTGCAATAAAGCCAAAGATGTGTACTGCTAAATCTGCCTGGCATTGAAAAATCATAATCAAAGGGAAGAGGTTCTCTCATAACCTTGTTGTCGATAACAACTGTTAACAAAGTTATAGATGTTGTTCTTGATCAGATCAGGAATTTAATAAAAAAGGAGATTGGTAACAAACGTTTTAGTTTGCAAATGGATAGTATTAAAGACATTAGTGTTTATGATCAAGCAACTATTTGCCTACAATACATATATAATGGCAAAATAACAGAAAGGCTCTTTGCACTTACAAAAGTTACAAACTCTTCTGGAAAAGGATTTTTTGATATCTTGAGTGAATGCTTTTTAAAACATGGAATTCAAATGAGAAATATAATTGGAGAATCATTTGATGGTGCGGCAAATATGCGGGGTGAATTAGTTAGGTTGCTAGTGGCTCCAAGTAGTTTGTATATTTGGTGTTATAGTCACATATTAAATCTATGTATATGTGATTCATGCCATAATGTTGAAGGCAAAAATTTATTTGGATTGTTGAACAGACTAGCAACTTTCTTTGGTGAATCATATAAAAGGATGGATGCTTGGGTGAAACAGAATAACTCATCTGGCCAAAATAAGTTGAGAAGACTGCAAAAAATAGGAGAGACAAGGTGGTGGCCACATGAAAAAGCCCTTAGATGGATATATGGCAAAGAGAGCCTACTTCCAATAACGATAAGTGCCTTACAATTTATAATTGATAATAAATCATTTGAGGCAAAACCCTCACCAGAAGCACAGTCTTTGATTGATAATTTATGTAAATTTAAGACTCTAAGTACTTCTATAATATATTTAGAAATTTTTGAAATAATGGGGCCATTGTCATTATATCTTCAAACTAAGAATTTAGATATTTTATCAGCGTGGAAAATGATAGAAGATGCCAAGTCTTCTATGCCATCTATAACTATTACTTCAATTAAAAATAAAGCAACAAAATGGTTTATAATTTAAATGGAACACTTTCATATTTAAAGCTCCCAGAGAGTATCTGGGTACAAACTGCTCTGCCAAAAAATCGAATAGGACGAGTGAAGAGAATATATAGTGACGAAGGCCAAGATGAACGTCCTCAAGAATCGACCTTCATAGGGTCGAAGTATTTCGTCCTATAATTGATCAAATTATAAACAGCTTGTCGGAACGGTTTTCTGCGAATAAAGAGCTTATTTTGAATGTGCAATATTTGCATCCAAGGCATTTTGAGGGTAATAGTAAAGATATTTCTGAAAAGGCCTTAGAAAAACTGGCACAATTGGCAAATATATCGAGTGTTAAATTACGTAACGAATTGTGTTCATTTGCCAGTGTATTCAAAGATTTAGTATAAGAATTAAATGAAACGGACAATGATATCGTATGTACAAGTGAGGATTCATATGAAGAAGATGAAATATTACAAAATGATAATAACTCAAGATGTGATAATAGATGTAATAAGTGTTTAATATGTGTGTACGAAATTATTAAAAGATACAATATGCATACAAGTGCTTACACTAATTTATTTTTAGCATATGAATACATTTTAACTTTATCATTTACGCAAGTCAATAGTGAGAGAACATTTAGTAAATTCAAAATTATAAAAAATAGGCTGAGACCAAATATAGGACAAGAAAAATTAGAAGCATTTTTAATGATGTCAGTTGAACGGGAACTTTTAGCGCAGATTGAACTAAAAGATATTCTTGTTTATTTGTGCAAAGGTTCAAAGTTAATGAGAGATTTATTAACTTAAAAATTTATATTAATTCTTTTATTTAAATCATATTTATATCTATTTACAATATGATCGGCGGAAGCAATTTTATTTTCTGTGCAATATTGTATAATTGCAATAATTTTTTATGTGAAATTAATTGATTTTATATATTGAGTATTATGTATTATTTTATAATTAACATGTGATGTATGATTTAATTTTATAGGGCATTATTGTTGTATATCTAATATAAAATATATGTGCAATAAATATGATTTTAGATGTGCAATTTTATGAAATAAAATATATATGAGTATCATGTCATTATTCTTTTTTTTTAAATGTACATCGTTTGTACCTATTTTCAAAAATAAGAAGTTATAAAAATCATATAATTCAGAAGCCATTTAAGGGAACCCGGCCGAAGGCCGGGCTAAACAAAATTAGAGGTATGGGGGCGAAGCCCCCATATAAATGAGGCCGCTATAAAAAAAATGCCCACGAGGCCGTAGCGTCGCCAGTCCGCCCCTGATTTCATATATATATACGTGAATATTTGATTCTACAATTAACTTATGCAATTTAAAAACCATTCATTAACACGCTGCAACTTATAAAAATGGATTTGGGTGCTCAATTTATTTTAAGGATATGTTCATAAAAGAAAAGAAAATGTAAAGAAATAACATTTTTTAATTTTGTAAAATTTTATATCGTAATTGTAATTTTTATATCTGTATTTTATATTTTAATTGTCTATTAAATAAAGTTATTTTATCTTAATTGTCTATTAATTGTTTAAATTATTCTACTCTGATATACACAACTCTCAAAAGCGGTGTCGAAGTGAGGAAAATTTAAAATAAAATTAAACCAGGAAAGGAAGATTTCACGAGGAAATTTAAGGTAAAATTAATTCGATATATTTATTCTATATATTATTAATAATTTTAGTAATATTTCTTTATTCGATTAATTTCGTTAGAATATTTAAACTTTTTTTAATTAAATTTTTGTTAAGTACGTTTTAATGTATATTACACAGATAAATATGTGGAATTTGTTAATAGAAAACATATTGTTAATAGTTCTTGTGTTTATGATTTTAGTTTTTATATTAGGTATAACAGTAGGAAGAACGGGATATATTAAGATAGCAAGTCGAGAATTGAAAATTTTAATAAGAGAGAAAGATAAGCTAAGACCTATAGATAATTACCGATAGATAAGTTGCTATAGTTATGGTCAGTCGGGTCACATGTCGCGACAGAGTGAATATACCAAAGATTTAAAGTGCGCGAGAAGTGGCAAGAATGGCCATGTAGCGATAAAATGTTGAGTTAACAATTTTGTAGTGAGGTTTAATATATGTGGTCAAGAAGGACACACAAACAAGAAAGGTATAAGAACTGACTAGGAGAAAGAAAGTTTGATTTTAATGATAATTTTTTTGATAATAAATTTTTGATTTTTTTTAATTATAAATCATGTGAATAATAGAAATATTGATAAAACGAGAGATATAAAGATAGAAAGTAAAAATTTTGAAATATTTAGAACAAATAATTCGATGTGTGAAGATGTGCGAAAGATTGAATTAGAATAGATACCCGAGAATTAAGAAAAAAAGAGGGAGCAGAAATATGTTTTTAATTATATACAGGAGCTGAAATTAGCCTGATGAGTGTAAAAGATTTTGATAGATTATGGCCAGAATAAGAATTTGTTCTAAAAAAAATGAGAGTCAGACAAAGATAATAGCATTGTAAAATTTTAGGTTATTATAGGATCAGGTTGCCTGGAAGTAATAAAAATATAACTTTATGGATAACTACGTTAAAGATTGAGCCAATTTTAGGTTGGTGTGACATAAAGACAATAGGTCCTGTTTATAATTGATGGAATTTTTTTGAAACAGTTTCTGAAATTAATGAGGTAAATAGCGAATAATAAAGAATGATTTTGATAAAGTTAAGTTACCTAGGATAGAAGATAACAAGATTTAGTTCTCAATAAACTTAGAAATCGAACTCCAGAAATTTTGATAGATATAGAAACAAGATAGAAGAGAATAATACATTAAGAGATATAAAGTTATTAGAGGTAACTCCAGTCGAAATCAACAAACAGATAATTGAGAATAAAGTTACGGAAGAGACTGTTCAAAGGAAATTCAACCAGGAATATTTTAGATCAGTACAAGGAAGTTTTTAAAGAAGAATTAGGTACTCTAAAAAATGTTGAAGTAGATATAAAGTTATTAGAAACTACCAGGCTAAATTTTGTGGATTAAGAAGATTACCGTTTTCTTAGATAAAAGAAATGATAAGGAATTAAATAAATGGTTAAAAGAAAGTATAATACGACCAATAGTGCATAGCGAATGGGGACTAGTCCCCATAAGAAAACCAGATAATAGCTTAAGGTTATGCATAGATTATAGAATTTCATTAAATCCTTGGATTATCACAGTAAGGTATCCTTTACCGAGATTAGAATAACTATTGGCAAATCTAAAAGGAGTGACATATTTTTCGAAGATAGATTTTTCTAATGCATATTTACAGATTAAGGTTAATGAGAATACAAGTAGAATGTTGACAATTACAACACATAGAGGGTTGTTTGCATTTTTTCGTTTGCCATTTGGGTTGAAAGTATCTGCTCCGATATTTTAAAGAACTATGGCTGCTAATTAAAGTGTTAGACATAATATTAGAAAATGGTTTAAGAGCTAACATAAAGAAGAGTGTTTTTGGAGTAAGAGAAATAAAGTATTTAGGACATATAATAAAAGGAGATGAAAATATAATCCTAAGCCTCGAGTCGGACCTTTGTTCCTTCTATGAGCAATAAAATCTTCAGTTCGATTGCAAAGAATATAGATAAGATAGTGAACATGAGAGCTTCGAATAATAAAACTGAAGTACAAGCGTTTTTAGGAGCTATTAATTATTATCATAGGTTTATCCAAATATTGCGCAAATTGCTACATGGTTGTATGAATTATTGAAGAAAAATAAAAAGCTTGAAAATTGGAAGTATCACAGAAGGAAAGTTTCAAAAATTGAAAATAAAGATGGTAGAGAAACCGATATTGTTTTAATGAGAAACTATATAATTTTAGCAGTGGATGCATTAATGAAGATATAGAAAGAGCTTTGTTACAGATGGTTGATAAGGTAGAAAAGCCGATTTTATTTTTGTTAAGACAGTTTAACAATACTGAAAAAAATTATTCAACAATAGAAAAGGAAGCATTAGCGGTTAAGTTTGGTTTGACCAAGTGTAGAGAGTATTTATTAGGCCGAAAGTTTTTATTATATGCGGATCATAAGCCTTTGGTAGATTTGTTTAAAAAGGACAATAAAGAACTTTTGATTTCACCGAGATTGCAAAAATGGTTAGTTTTAGTTGGTAATTCGATTTTGAGATAAAATTTAAGCGGGTAAACAAAATTGTTTACCAGATATATTATCGAGATTGTTTAATAAAGACATTGAAGACAAAGATATAGAGCCATTAATCAATAGTTTAGAATATATTGAAGAAGAGGAATTAAATATTAATGTTATAAGTGCTTTGAAAAGATACAAGAGAAAAATCTATAACTTTTGAAATAGCAGATGAGATATCCAAAAAAGTTGAAGCCAAAATACGGTTCGGGTTCACATCCCAGCTTTTTCGGAAAGGAAAGAACACAAAATATCTATCATTTATATTTTGGGGTAATTATCAATTTTTTCCAATTTGCATAGGTCCTCACAACATATGTAATTGATCATTCAAAGTTTCACTTGATTTAAAAGATTTCATGAAAATGCCTCTTTTTTGATCTATCGATCATTCTTATTTCATTTAGTTTTTGATCAGCATTTCTATTTTAAATTTAACATTCTGAAAATTTAGTGACGGAGTTTGGATTTCGGCTTTTAAAATATACATTCTCAAATATTGTTATTATCACTTTAAATATAAAAATAATTGCTTTATTTTAAGCCGGTTAAATCTATTTTTTAGTAGAAATTATCACCTTCACTTTTTAAAAAATATACAACTTTGAAGAAAGAAATAAATGTCAGAATTTTTAGTTATATTTTATTTTCACGACTCTTTTTAATTATATTTTTGAATATGTAATTTAAGAGGAATGGGTGAACAAATTTTATAAATGTCGCTCCTTTTTTAGGGATTCATAGCTTAGGTGGATATAGGAGCCACTGGTTTTGCTTATTTTTTTGCGTCGCGGTTTTCCTCCGATTTTAAAATCATTAATTTCGCCATCCCTCTATTTTTATCATATTTTAAAAAAACATTAAAACACCCAGTATTGAAAAATTTTTATTTATAAATTCATTTATAATGTATATTTATATCTTCTTCGTGAAGTCAAAATTTATAATATAGTTTAGTTTTATAAGTTTCTTTATTTTTGTTTTAAAATTTATATAAGAATGATAAATTTTATATAAAAATAATATTCCAAGATTTATTGCTGTCTCGGTGTTTTGGCCTTGACGGGAAATCTTCATTCTATAGACACCGAAAGATTAGGTTGGTGGTTAAGTGAAAGACAATTGCCTTCTGGTGGATTAAACGGTATAATACTTTTTCTATATCACCCAATACTTTTTTAAATTTTTTAAGGAAGGCCCGAAAAATTTCCGGATGTCTGTTATTCTTGGTGGGTGTTAGCTTCTTTAGCTATCATAGGAAAACTGTCTTGGATTAATAAAGTAAATTTAGTAGCTTAATTAAAATTACCTGGCAAAAATATAATCTCGCTTAATATTATTAAATATTAAAACTCCTTTGAAATTGTTTTATGAAATGTAATGAAGGTTCCTAGTATTTATAATTTTTATACCATATTTGCAGGCGCGTTAGCTATCTACTTTGGGTGTTTTGTAAAATTGACAGGTACCCTATTTTTCAAAAATTAGCATCCTTTTAGAAAAATGTATTATTATTTTAATTAGTTGGATTTTTTTTTAAATGTGGCTTTCATTAATAAAAAAATATATTCTCTATCTAAAACATTCATTGTGGCGTGTTACAGGAAGCCTGTATTTTCCACAGCTGGGCTCATAGAAGATCCTTCAATGGGCGTGTGGGCTGGCGGGTTGAAAAATTATTGGGCGATAATTTTGAATATTTAATAAGTTTAAGTTAAAATATTTTAACATAAAATAAAAAAGAGGCAAACCAACCAAGCAAACATTTTTGGAAAAATTGCGCGGACAAATGGGTTAAACAAATTTTTATGAATGAGCTGGCGGGTGATTTTTTCAAAAAAAACATAGGCGAGCTGGTTAAAAAATTTTAACATTTCGGGTTAAGCCCCACATTGCAGACCTCTACTTCAAATCTTTATAAAAGAATTTTTGTACAAAATAATTTTAAACTAATAAAATCTTTAAATTGAAGTTATCATTATAAAATTCAAAAGGAAGTCAACCTTACATCATATATGGCAAGAAAATCTAAAATAATGATAAAAGAATTTGGAATTCTCTCATTCCCAAAACATAAGGCAGTAAAGACACTAAACGAACAAACATTTAAGCTCGTCACGGATTTTATAGTTCCGGTGAAATAAGCCAACTCATGCCTGGAATAAAAGATTATGCGTCTGTTAAAGGCGAGAAAGAACAGTTCAAAAAAGACATATTGATCATGAAGAAATATTCAAGATGCAAGAAGAATGCCCGGATATATCAATAAATTTGCCGAACTAAGGCCAATAAACTGTATTTTAGTTGGAGCTAGTAACACACACTGTTTATGTTTGCACTATTCATCAGAATGAAATTAATACAAATGTATTAGCTGAATAATAGCAGGAGAAGAATACGGTATAAATTCTTATAACTATCTTTTGGCCCAAATTATTTGTAATCCCTTTCAGCCAAAATGTTATTTAACAAATTGTATCAATATCCTGGTAAAGTATCTCTTAAGGGCCAATTATACCAATTGTTTCAGAGAAATCATATAGAATATGTCACGTTTAAACAATGGATCACGGTGGATAGAGCAAATCTTGAAACTTTTATAAAGTCCGTTGATGATTTCATCGATTATCTATTAAAAAAGTTCAAATTTTACTGCGTCACTCGTTTATAGCTAAACAACAAACTTTATTTTTAAGAATTCCAAAGAAAATTTAAAAGATGGGGAATTTTTAACAATTCTAGATTATTCTGAAAATTATTCATTTATTTTACAAGATAAAATGTAAGGATTTCATTGGGACAACGCGCAAGCTAATATACATCCATTTGTAGCCTATTATAAATATTCACCTTAATATTAGTGTAGTCCACCTTTATCAAAAAAATTTATTAATTTCTTAACAGCTAAATTTGATTCTAAACCAGAAAATATAATACACTTTTCAGGTGGATTCGCTTCACAATTTGTGTTGTAAACGAACGCGTTCGTGAACGAAGTTCGTTTTTTTGAAAAAAATAATGAACGGCGTTCCTTTTATTTTTGACGAATTTTGAACGTGAACGCGTTCCTTTTTTATGACGAACGCGTTCGAATTTAACGTTCAATTTTAAAAACACTTTTATTTTTATTTATTTGAAAAATTTAATATTAGTCCGTTTCCTTTTTCACATTTGAATTTTTTTAACACTTATAGTTTATCAATTTAAATATTATTGTTTATATTTTAATTTGACTAGGATAAGCATGGATATTAATTTTTCATCATAATCATCTGATTCTGAAAATTCAAAATCAGATAAATTAACATTACCATGGCCCAAATATGATAAATATTTTACAGTAACATCCTATATTGAAGGAACTAATTCAACCAAATGTAAAATGTGCCCAAAAAGTTTTATATCAGTTTCAAAATCTTCAAGTTCCAGTTTAAAACGACATTTGATTGTCATATTAATTATTCTATTTTATATAATATAACTGTAAAATCATTAAATTTGAATAAAAAATGCATCTGGGCTATTTGACCCAACAATAACGATAATTATTTTAATTAAAACGTAGTATTAAATAATGTGATTAATAAAAGGTATTAAACCTATCACTATCAAATTAATTACATATATTTTATTTTTTTTAAAGATTTGAACATAGAATATCAATATGTTCTTTCTGCGATTATACATCCAGTATTCAAGCTGGTCATGGATAAAACTTCCACAGAACGAACCTATAAAAAATAAACTTATAGCGTTATTGAAAAAATGCATTGAAAACGCTAGAAATGACTCTCTTTTATGACGAGGATGATTGGAGGAGGATAACTTATCTCAATTTTTTGAAGCAAAGGACAGAACAATAAATGTTTTCAATAAATTCCCTATGTTAAAAGAGTTGTTTATTAAGTATAATACCGCAATCCCCTCAAATGCCCCTGTACGCGTTTTAAGTATAGCTAATCCCGTATTAACTGCCAAGTGTTCCTGTCTATCAGATAAAAATTTTGAAAAACAATTGTTATTAAAGATTAACAAGAAAAATCTTTTATAAATAAAGATATTATTTATTCGCTATATTATATTATATTTATAATTATATTATCAAAATTAAACCTTATTATTTTTTAACATGGTTAATATATTGTGTTAAAACATATAAGACATTTATTTATATTAAATTAAATCTTAAAAAAAATTATCATGCGTTCATGAACGTGAACGCGTTCCTTTTTATTGAAAGGGAACGTGAACAGGTTCGATTTTTGTCAATGAACGCAAACGCGTTCGATTTTTATAGAAATGTTTACAGCACTAGTCGCAATACAAGAATTGCAAAATTTTTTTTAACATATACCTTCATTAATACGATTTTAATATTTCAGCCGAATGGCATTTTTTCCCCACTCTTCACGGCAAAAATGCGTGTGATGGTATCGAGGAACTATCAAGATTAGTTGCCAGAACGTCTTCAAAGGCCAAATAAAAATCAAATTCTAACCCCAATCAATTTGAATATACATATATATCAAATCTAGAATACATTGGAGGGGAATTAGTCTTCGTAAAAGATTTAATTCTGCACTGCCCATACATGAGACCCAAAAAATTGACAGGGTTATTTCCATTGATCAAAATAGGCTAAAAACCAAAATATATTCAAATTCCAAAAAATATAATAAAAACAAGTTTCGTTTTTAAATGAGAAAATTATATTTAAAAATATTAATGGGTATATAACATGTGTATATGATGACAAATGGTGGTTAGGATATATAATCGATAAAAATGATACAAATGAAGAAGTAAAAATCTGATTTTTACACCCTTGTGGACCTTCAGCTTTATTTAAATTTCCTCTGATAGATGATTTCCCAGATCTCATATTCACTCGCTGGTCAATCCTTCTTCTCTCACCGGTCGAACATATATATATTATCTCCTGAAGAAATCTCACAAGCTAGCCAGGCTTTTAATTAATTTATAAACTACCTTAGGCAAAATTTATGAAGATTTCAAAAATTCTGTGATCTGAATTACAAATAAATATATAATACATTTAATCGACATAGTATGATATATATATATACATTAAAAATTTTTTAATTTTAACATATTAAAACTATTATATGTAGTGCGATCTATTTTTATAAATATAAAAATCGCAATATTTTTTAACATAGATATCCAGCTAAGCTAATTGTTGAAGAAATTATTCAAAAAAATAGTAAACGAATGATATTTCCAAAAAAAATTAAAATTGGAGATCATAGTCATTTCGATATATTAATATCAAATTTTCTACTGACCATAAGATGACCCATATTTTTTTTTAAAAAAATAATTTTTAGGTTTTCACCATAATTTTTAATTATTGACTTAGCTATTAATATTATATTCAATATTCGATAAACTAGTTATTTAACATAAGTAAAAAGTAAAAAAGGATGGACCTTTAACTCAGATTATCTCCGTTAATATAATTGCTAATGCGCTAACATTTTGTTTATGATCTAATGTAAACACATATAACCAGCTTACAACTTTTTATCGAAATTGAAAGGGGCTGCCGAAAATCTTGATTTTATTGCTCATTTGATGCACATTTGTATTTACAAGGCTGTTAAGACTGTTGGCCCACAGGACTACCTAAATTATTACTTATATCAAGGGTTGGCAAGTCGGTCAATTGACCGGTCAAATTCAACCAATTGAGCGGAGGATTATTTGACTAAAAAATCTGTATAAAAAAAATTAAAAATGTGTTTGAAAAAATAAGAACAATATAAATACATCAGATCACAATATTTCTTATTATTAGGTCTCCAATATCAAGGGGAGTATTTTACTAGTGAATTTGATTAAGTATGTATATACAAGAATTACCCATTTTACAAGGTGGTTATAATCTAAATATTTTAAGTGATATCATAAATTTCAGAAGTAAAAGCTGCATGTTTAATAGCAAATTATGGGGCAAGTAACTCCCATAAGAAACAATTAAATTCAGACTTCAAGTTAGTGGTATGAACTTTGCCCGCCATGCCAGAGAAGTGACATTAACTAATAATTCCTAGTTTTGCTTCTTCTTCAGAAAGAAATTAGTCAATTTGAGTTAATATTCTTACTACAGCAGAAATCGAATGAAGACTTTGTCAACAGAAAAATTGATTAAAAGTATTAAAGAAAAAGATAATATTGAATATGAATCAGAACACTCTGCCATGGAAAGCTAAACATAAGTTATTGAATGTCAATGAATTTAAAAAATATTATAAGATTAATATTATAGACTTTTACTATTATATACAAAATAAAGTTAATATTGGCTTAAAAAAAACATTTATTTGAATTTGACCGGCCAACTTATATCAATTTAAAAAAATATATTATATAAAGTGGTATTTTTTTTATTTTATTCAAGCCTAAATTACTATTTTATATCTACCCTGCAATTAAGTTATATTAATGTATCTATTTATATTCGTATGCTCAATATATTTTTATAGCTGTAATTTAATTGATATACAAAATTCTGAGTAATATTTTTTAATGCGTCTTTAGGATAAATTTATATGTATATTTTTTTAGCACCTTTGTAAAAAGTCTAAACGCTCCTGAATGCTTGACTTGATGCTTAGATATCAGGAATCGGCCGGGATTTCTACACCCTCCAAAATCAATGATAATGTTACCCCCTACTTCCTCCTACTTAATTAAAATTAGCATAAAAAGTAAATCCGAATCAAAACTACTCCATACCCTTCCCCCTCTAATTTTATCCAAATGCCGATAGCGCCTTGACAACTCCTACCCCGCTCCAATTTCAAAGACGATCTTGCGCCCCCACCCCTTAGTAGATGTTCCTGAAATTCGGGGACAAAATAATAATGATTATATATAAAGTATTTATGATTTTAAACATGGAAATTATGCTTATGCCCTTATCAATTTGTAAATTTATTTGGGGGCATTCCTGATATAAGGGAGTTGAAAAAAGTTAGTCGTGAAGAGTGATGAACGCGCTAAAAATAAAAAAGTATAATAGAAAACCATTCCTTATATATGTTATGACCATTATAATGACGACCTAAGTCTTACGTCTTAATAAATAGCATGATATAATTAACTTTGACCATTTTAAAAATAAAAAAACATTTAAATTAGTTTTTATTTGACTTATATGATGATTTGTTGTTATCATGTTCTCATTATTTATTATGATAAAACATGTATTTTTTATATATTGGAAAGATTTATACTGGCTTGTCAAGATGTCGAACTCGGCGGTTTCACCGACAGGCCTAGGGATATGGTAACAAAAAAATGAATTAGATTTAAATAGTAAAAAATTATTAGAAAGAAGATTAGCAAAAAAAAAGAATATAGTTATAACTAGGGCAAGGTAATTCAAAGTGAAACGAAAACTTTCGATTTTTTGAATATACAAAAAAAAAATTTTTATATCCAATTATTCGCCCTCGCGACACTTTAAAATATCAAGATATAATTATATGTAATTTACAATGCTGCTAGAGTAACTATTAGAAGTATCACGCTACATTTTTAAGTAACGATAGGTAACGGACCCTAATTTTTTATATAAATTAGGTAGCTATTTAATATCTCCGCTACCTTTTCATGTAGGTATTTCTAAAATTCTATTTAGCCATTCTTTTTTAAAAAAATCAATTAATATTTTAAAATTATGAATATAATTAATTTAAATTCTTTTATTTATTTCAGATACCTACAGAGATACCATTTGCACCACCGCGCCCGTATTTTTTTAAAAAAATAATTTCCGGCATGGCCCGGTTTTTAAAAAAAATTTTTACCAACCCGGGTATTTAAAAAAAAAATTTTTAGACCCGACCCGGGTTTATTTAAAAAATTAAAATACATTCCGGTCAATGTACCCGGGCTTAGAGTCGGCTTTCAGGTTGTTGATTTATGAATAATAGATAAATTAAACTATTATCTTCCCAGAAGTCTAAAATATTTGCATCTTTTTTAATTCTTTTGATATATGCAAATCTTATCTTATCTTATCTAGCACGTTGGTCATAGACCTGCCCAAAATGAGCGAACGTGAATTTTATGAAGGCCCACCCTTCATAAAATTATGCCGATTTTTTTTCTCAAGGATACCAACAAACCTTGTACCCAGTTGTAGTTTAACTAAATGAGTGGAACTCAGGGGCGGACTGGCGACGCTACGGCCTCGTGGGCATTTTTTTTATAGCGGCCTCATTTTTATGGGGGCTTCGCCCCCATACCCCTAATTTTGTTTAGCCCGGCCTTCGGCCGGGTTCCCTTAAATGGCTTCTGAATTATATGATTTTTATAACTTCTTATTTTTGAAAATAGGTACAAACGATGTACATTTTAAAAAAAAAGAATAATGACATGATACTCATATATATTTTATTTCATAAAATTGCACATCTAAAATCATATTTATTGCACATATATTTTATATTAGATATACAACAATAATGCACTATAAAATTAAATCATACATCACATGTTAATTATAAAATAATACATAATACTCAATATATAAAATCAATTAATTTCACTTAAAAAATTATTGCAATTATACAATATTGCACAGAAAATAAAATTGCTACCGCCGATCATATTGTAAATAGATATAAATATGATTTAAATAAAAGAATTAATATAAATTTTTAAGTTAATAAATCTCTCATTAACTTTGAACCATTGCACAAATAAACAAGAATATCTTTTAGTTCAATCTGCGCTAAAAGTTCCCGTTCAACTGACATCATTAAAAATGCTTCTAATTTTTCTTGTCCTATATTTGGTCTCAGCCTATTTTTTATAATTTTTAATTTACTAAATGTTCTCTCACTATTGACTTGCGTAAATGATAAAGTTAAAATGTATTCATATGCTAAAAATAAATTAGTGTAAGCACTTGTATGCATATTGTATCTTTTAATAATTTCGTACACACATATTAAACACTTATTACATCTATTATCACATCTTGAGTTATTATCATTTTGTAATATTTCATCTTCTTCATATGAATCCTCACTTGTACATACGATATCATTGTCCGTTTCATTTAATTCTTATACTAAATCTTTGAATACACTGGCAAATGAACACAATTCATTACGTAATTTAACACTCGATATATTTGCCAATTGTGCCAGTTTTTCTAACCTTTTCAGAAATATCTTTACTATTTATACCCTCAAAATGCCTTGGATGCAAATATTGCACATTCAAAATAAGCTCTTTATTCGCAGAAAATCGTTCCGACAAGCTGTTTATAATTTGATCAATTATAGGACGAAATACTTCGACCCTATGAAGGTCAAGCGATTCTTGAGGACGTTCATCTTGGCCTTCGTCACTATATATTCTCTTCACTCGTCCTATTCGATTTTTTGGCAGAGCAGTTTGTACCCAGATACTCTCTGGGAGCTTTAAATATGAAAGTGTTCCATTTAAATTATAAACCATTTTGTTGCTTTATTTTTAATTGAAGTAATAGTTATAGATGGCACAGAAGACTTGGCATCTTCTATCATTTTCCACGCTGATAAAATATCTAAATTCTTAGTTTGAAGATATAATGACAATGGCCCCATTATTTCAAAAATTTCTAAATATATTATAGAAGTATTTAGAGTCTTAAATTTACATAAATTATCAATCAAAGACTGTGCTTCTGGTGAGGGCTTTGCCTCAAATGATTTATTATCAATTATAAATTGTAAAGCACTTATCGTTATTGGAAGTAGGCTCTCTTTGCCATATATCCATCTAAGGGCTTTTTCATGTGGCCACCACCTTGTCTCTCCTATTTTTTGCAGTCTTCTCAACTTATTTTGGCCAGATGAGTTATTCTGTTTCACCCAAGCATCCATCCTTTTATATGATTCACCAAAGAAAGTTGCTAGTCTGTTCAACAATCCAAATAAATTTTTGCCTTCAACATTATGGCATGAATCACATATACATAGATTTAATATGTGACTATAACACCAAATATACAAACTACTTGGAGCCGCTAGCAACCCAACTAATTCACCCCGCATATTTGCCGCACCATCAAATGATTCTCCAATTATATTTCTCATTTGAATTCCATGTTTTAAAAAGCATTCACTCAAGATATCAAAAAATCCTTTTCCAGAAGAGTTTGTAACTTTTGTAAGTGCAAAGAGCCTTTCTGTTATTTTGCCATTATATATGTATCGTAGGCAAATAGTTGCTTGATCATAAACACTAATGTCTTTAATACTATCCATTTGCAAACTAAAACGTTTGTTACCAATCTCCTTTTTTATTAAATTCCTGATCTGATCAAGAACAACATCTATAACTTTGTTAACAGTTGTTATCGACAACAAGGTTATGAGAGAACCTCTTCCCTTTGATTATGATTTTTCAATGCCAGGCAGATTTAGCAGTACACAGCTTTGGCTTTATTGCACATTAGTTCTATTGTAATCCATTTTCTAGGTATTTTTTCATTCATTACCATTCGATAATATAATTTATCATATTTACTATTTATTGGTTGTATAGGATGTTGCATTAAGAATGCAAGTTTTTGTGGTATAGTAGCTGTTAATTGCAGCTTAAAATTTTCATGTTTATGCATACCCAATTCTGATCACTTTGTGAAATATCTAAAGGCAGTATTGATGTAGTTGCTTCTGACAAGTGTGAGGATAATAAAGATGGAATTGCTGTAATTGTAGATAATCTATTTTCAGGGTGTGTGAATGATTTATCTGCTGTAATGGTTGGTAATATAGTTATAGGTGGGTGTGGCAATGATTGAACTGATGCAATAATAAAAGAAGATGTTGCAGATAATGTAGTTGTTTCTGGTAGATGTGAATGGGAGGTAGTTGCTGATATTCCTAAAATAATAGATTTTTTAATATGAAGTACTAGTATTATAAATACTTGGTACTGATTTATCAAAGAAAGATAATTTAAGTTGTTTTGGATCAGCACTAGCTGCTTTGAGACAAGCAACATCTTTTTCTCTTAATTTTTCAGCTCCACCCTTAAATTTCCTTTTGGCATTTCTATGCATGATAATATAAAAAATTTATTATTATTAATTTATAACTTAAGGCTAAAAAAAATATTACAAGATGTGAACTGGAAATTCAAATAATTTTATAAAAATAAAAAAACATTAATTACTATCTATGAATATGAAATATAAATAAGTTGTTTACTTTTGACTTTTTACATACATTTCAAAAAATAGCTGTATAAATATTAAATTAGATTTGATTGCAAATGATTAGTAAATTGTTGCAACCAAATATTAGGTGAGATTTTAACAATCTGTGTTCGTTGAGTTAAGCTTAGTTAGTAATAATATAATAAAATAATAAATTAATATTAAAAGAAACTTTAGAAAATCAAATTGATCAAAAATTTATTTATTAAAATTATTATTACCTGGGTTTTATTTGATTTCTTTTCTTGAATTAAGAACAATACAATAACAAAAGTTTGCTATATTATTTCTACAATAAATTAATGTATAAAAATATAATATAATAAATTAATTAAAACTTAATTTACACTCTAATCGTAGTCAAGCTCAAAAGGAAGCGATTCACTTCATTCGAAAAAAAAACAAGGAAAAGCACGTGATAATATAGCGTCAAGCGACGATAGTAAATTACATGATAATTCTCAAGGAATGCGATATTAAAAATAAATGATAAGAGAAAATATTATGGACATAATAATATTTTTTTTTTCTAATCGGCCTCTTTTTTTATATTTTCCTCCGATCGGCCTCAAAATCGACATTTTCTCGCAGCCTCGTGGGCAAAATGCCCACCGGGTCTTATGGCCAGTCCGCCCCTGGTGGAACTTACCCTTTCCGATATTGTAATTTAAATAAATAATAATATAAGGCATATATATCTTATTTGTTTATTAATCTTGAATAGTTATATTCATGATAAGGAATGAGTTAAGAATATTTGAATCTATAGACATCAAAATTCCATTTCATTTGTTAGGTTATATTGTTCCAAAAGATGAACCGGAAAAACTTCGCCATTTGGGATGGATAGATGAAAGATGCTATGTTAATTTTCTTCTTCAAATAGCAATTTTTCAAAATCATTCAGATCATTTGTAGCTGAAATTAATGTTGATGCATTCAATAATTTAATGATTAATGTTTTTCTCACAATTTCGCTAAATTAACCTTAACACCCTCTTCCTGATCAATTGTTATTAAGATTTGATACTTGGGATCTAAATATAGTGAGGCAAGGGCGTCACTAG